ATACACATACAACAATTATAAAAAAAAGAAAAAAAAAAATGAAAAAAATGAAAAAAATGAGAAAAGAAAGAAATATTAAACGATTATAAAAAATCCTTGCTTAGTCAGTTAAAGTACAAATGTTTAAATGTATTCTATGATTAGGTGATAAGTATATAAAAAAAGAAGGGAAAAAAAATCGAGAGAGGAAGCGTGCATGTGCGAGCGTGAAAGGGGTGAGAAAAAGAGAGGGAGAGCGACACGCCGCATAGCTGCGTATAAAACTTGGTTTCATTCCTTAATAAGCCTCTGATATAGCTTTATTTATTAGTTACTTGACGTTTAATAATACTTAAAATGATGAGACGGGCCGATAGAGGGCGAAGTAAAAAAAAAAAGAAAAAATGTGACTTCTCTTCTTTTTTTTTTTTTTTTTTTTTTTTTTTTTTTTTTTTTCTTCGTTTCCACTCACATTGACATATGATATATATATATATATATACACACACATATATATGTATACAAAAAAAGAAAAATCACGCTTTACTTTGATATTAACGAAACACGTTCCTTTTTTTTTTTAACTTCTTTTTTTTTCGTTTTTCGGAGATGTTTTTCTTTGACATATCAAATTGACCACAAATGGACATAACTAAGAAACCGTTGCATTCCATCGGCGTCGGTGTACGCCCCTTCAATGTTTCCCGTGATCTCTCTCCGTGTGTTTATTCATTTTTCCAACGACAGATTCTCCTTGGGGACGCGTCTCCACTGGAGATGTCTCATTGCTGACGAGGTAGCAATCCAGTTTCAGGCTGGGAAGACAGATTCAAAAAAGAAAACGTCCTCAGTGCAAAATAGAGAAACAGTTCTTCTATGGATAAATCCTGTTACATCCATTAGCAGCGGAAGTTATATCTGGAATAGGATGATGATGATTCTTGGCTTGGTGTCTGGCTCGGCGTTCCTTGGCAGTTGGATTCCTTTGATTTCATCGTTTTTCAAATGCCTGTTTGAGCCAGCGGTCACAAAGATCTTAAATGGTAGCTGAAGCAAGGTGAACGACAAAGAAGAGAATGTTATTTCGAGCAATTGATAGGGAATGACGAAGGACATACAGCTTATTCCATATGTGCAATGTTGCAATAACATGTTATTTATAGTTTGTAACTTATTATCTATATAAGCTGTATCGTTGAAAGAGATGGTGAGTGATGTACGATTGCTACTAAAAGAAAGGAATTTCATTCTAATATTTTGTTGAGTGTTTCAGTTTGTTTTAGTGGAAAGTTGTCGTTTAAGGAACTTGTTTTGTTGCATTTCACGTAACAGAAGGATTCTTCTTTAACTTTCCCTTTATCTTGGTCCTTTTGTAATCTGTGTCGCTTCAAATTTGTTCAGTGATTGCCAAGTCTTTATACCTGGGAATGGCATCTCCAGAAATATTCTAGTCATGAAAGGTTCAAAAAAGAGGTTCAGCTTTGAGCTTTCAATTCAAACTAATGGATTATCAGGACTCGTTAGTCTTCCTTGTTATCGCGGAGGACAACTGTGAAAAAAAGGATTTGCTTGTTCCAGAAAGATTGACAAATCTCTAAATATCCAGATCTGTTTTGGATCTGTACTATGTACGAGCTTCTATGAACAATTTCACAATAAAAAAATGTCTTCAGATGAAATGAAACAAATCAAAACTTGTCCTAAATAGGGAGAGTCAGGGTGTCATAGATAAGGTGATAAAACTATTATTGACTATTTTACATTGGAAAGCACAGGGAACAGAAATGCGTGAAAGAAGAAAAAGAAAAAAGAAAAAAAAGAAGAACGCCGAGCCATATACTTCCTGTATACTGGAATTAAGCAAGGAAACAATATCTTTGAGAGTAAGATTTAAATAGGATAGCGCAATATCTTTTCCAGTTGGATATTGAGCAGACATTTTAAACAGAAATAGAAAAGCAAAAAGAAAGAAAACAATAGAAGAAATGCAAAAAAAAGACTTGACGACAGGCAGAGAAAATTCACACGGTTCGTTGTGCGTAAACCATGTTTTCCTGAGACCTCCATTGGTATTTTTTATTAGATGGGACTATTCGTGGAAATGGGATGGATTAAAAAAAAAGATGTTCCGACGTGTTGCTTAAATGCTTCAAAACTGTATAAAAGGATAGTACAAGACAAGAGAGAAATGGTAAAAATGCAATATGGAGAAAGCGTGTATTCCAAATATATTTTTTATATATGCTAATGGAATGCGAAGGAACATGGTCGCGTTGTGAACGTTGAAAAAGAAATCAATACTGTATTATTTAACGCGAAACTTACACGTACGGTTATATATAAAAAAAGCAAGAAAAGGGAGAAATGCACAGGCATATATTGACCGTGTAATCGAATTGTCAGTTGTGAAATGTAATTGTCAGTTCCCCCTCCCCGAAACTACTCAGCCTTTAGATTTAAAAAAAAAATTATATATATATTTATAGCCGCGTATCTTCGTTTTCAAAGTATTTCGATATTTATATAAATATATATATATTACATATATGTATATATATATATATATATAAATATACACACATACACGTACATATATTGAAATATATACATATATATGTATATCCATTTTTTCTGTTAAGTCCTTTAAACAAGAAAGAAAGAAAGAAAGAAAAAAAGAGAGCGAATATCTCTGATGATTCTAATTTTAATTCCTCCTCGTGCCCAATCCTGCAACTCTACCGAATTCCCCCAAAGTTTGTTAAACCTAGTCTTGCATAACACACACATATATACAAATCACACATGCATACACGTACACACAAACGTTACGATATATATATGTGTGTATATTATGCACAGTATGCATATGTACGCATGTATATGTGTATATGAGAAAAGAAGAAATGCGAGATTTCTCCTTTCGTTTAAACGGGGATTTTCGCTTTATTATTATATTAATTATTACTACTACTATTAATATTATTATTATTATTAATGTTTTTCTCTCTTCCTTTTTTTCCTTTTTTCTTCTCTACGCCGGTACCTACTAAATTTTTAGTTTCATTTTTATATGAAATATTCAAATTTATGGTATTATACGTATACACATCTATATACACTTTTACAAACAACAATAAAATGGAAAAAAATATAAAATGAAAAAATAAAATATTTTAATCTACATACTATATTAATATTATTATATTTAAAGATATGTGGAGAAACATTTGCTACTTATATATTTGTCAAATGTACGTGCGCGCGCGCTAATGTTCGGAAAGGTATTCTCGCGGGACGGACAGAACTTGGGAGGAAGGGAGAACAGATCGTTTGACGCTGCAGCTCTGAATATTTTTTCCAGGGCTCTTTTACTATGATATTTTGCATAATTATATTGCTCTGAGACACCTTTTTGTTCCTTTTTGAAATCGCATGGACATGTGGTTATTTAGAAAAAAATAAAAAAATAAAAAAAACGAAGATATAAGACTATTCTCTCGCCACTTATCTTTGTCAATTCACCCAACATTGTTACGCCCCGCGCAGAGCACGTTTCCAAGGAAAAAAAAAAAAAGAAAAAGAAAGAGTTACTCAAACTAACGCAGTTCTTCGAAACATGTAGGAAATATACGTTTTTGTCTGCGTATAGGCTGCAAAATGCAATAATAAATATATTGTGATGCTCACGAAAGCACATAACATAATTTACCAAAATTGTAATGTTTAAAATATTTCATGTGATTTTGGAAACTGTTATATTTTTTATTTCCTGCCAATTGTTTAATTTGTAATGTTGTTCTTTGTTCTTTTTTCAATAAAGTAAGCAAACCAATTTTATCATCGTTCTCTTTGTACTTAAATCGATTTAAAGCGACGTTTCAGCTTTCGTCAAATTGGATGTTCTGGATTGCAAAGACTCCGGCCGACGATGAGTGCAAACTACAAAAGTAAGAAACAATTTTGTGTGTGTATATATATATATTCGCTTTATATTTACTTTTTCGTACAGTTTTATATACAAATAACTCGGCATTCAATCTGAATCAGAGTCCTGTCGGGTATATTGTTGCTTTGGCAGTTCCTCTTGCAATTCCAAGACGTGTTCGATCGGTTTCGGTCTTCCATCATCCCCGATCCTACAAGGATGCACCACACCTTCTCTGAAATAACCAAATATATTGTAAACATCGAATCGAATGATATTATATTCGTAAATGAATAACAGTGCAAACCTCGTTAATTTATCAACAAGACCAACAAGTTGTAAAGCTTCATACTCTTTCTGTTCTTCCGACATACCTTCCAAAGGATTAGGTTTTGGATGCTCGAAGCAACCAGTTACCGGATTAATCCTTCAGTGCAATACGGATTTCATTGATATCAATTATAATTATTATTATTATAACGTTACTAGAACCTTAAACTTAAACTTACTGTTCTTTATGTTTCAAATATTCCTCAGTTTCGCTATCTTCTGATTCAGAAGAGTATGTTAGCTTTTTTCTACTTGATCCCAATAATCCTTTATTTGCAAACATACCAGCAGCATTCCCATATCCAGTATACTTCACCATACGAGCAACTAAATAACAATACATATATATATATATATATATACGTTATTAACCAAATACAGATTACAATTTATCAAATATTTATAATCTTACCGTTCTCTTTGCACAGTATGAATAAAAATTCTGCAACGAGATCTCGTACCTCTACCACAGGAGAAGTCAATAATTTGCACAGTTTCGCCCTTAAAGTAGTTCCTTCTTCTGGACGGTGCATCACATCCCTTAACGGTGGTAAAATCTGAAAAAATAAACGAATAACCAATACAACAGTCTTGAATGTTTTCAAGCGTTCAAAGGGAAAAGAGTTTAACCTGTAACCTAGTATATTTTCTGATCAACCTCTCAGCTTTAACCATTCTGATAAGTGTAGTAACAACTGGAGCAAGATTTCCTATTAAATCATTTTTGTTATCTAGTCTTCTGTCTAAAAATTTTAATAAAACATATATTGCACTCATGTCCTTATTTTGATATATTTGTTTGTGTTTCTCTTTGCTAAGGGGTATCATTACTGAATAACAATCATATGGCATTACCATTAGTAAATTTGCAATATTGCTGGAATAGGAATTGATATAGTATAAGAATAAAACAATATACATACATAACAATACAAAATAAATACCTATGAAAATCATCTTCTTTCTCACATTTAGATAACAACAACCTTCTCAAAGTTAAAACTAAATCGTTTTTCACATCTTCTGTCGTATTATCTGAATTCATGTACAAATTAAATAATGCCTTTAACATTTCACACAGCAATATCACATTACCCTCCTTGATAATGTGAGATTTCTCTTCTCGACTTGTTATATTCTCCAGTAGTTTTACCAGACATTTATCTCCGTTTAATTCTGTTTTAATAATTTGCCTTGTGGCAATATTTAAAGCAGTAATGAGAAATACAATTCTGGTATCGAACAACATTATTTCATATGGAATGTCGTCGCTGTAGTTTTTGATACGTTCAATTAGGCATTGCAAACAAGATGTTTTTAGTAATATTTCTTGCACGTTTGTACTATTGAATATTAAATTGAATAGTAATTTAAGCGCCTCGATGGTAACTATAAAATAAATAAAATAATTGAAAAAAAGAATTTTAACGTTGCTTTTAACATTTTCTGAATAGGTATAAACAAGCTTACCATTGGTATAAGTATGCTCTTTTGCATCCATGTTTTTTAAAGCTGCCTTATCTATTATAATACCTAGTCTTTCGTCTGTGATTAATTCGTTTAACTTTGTTTTGTCTCTGCTACGTTAATGGAGAAAAACAACAGAATTACTTAACAATAATGGCAAAAGCTAGGTCTACATTTAAAACAATAACACAAAGTGGCTGTCAGAAAAGTTCTGACGCTTTGCTAAAAATAAGAATGTGTTTATTCAATATTATCCCTTCGCGTGTGCCTTACTTGTGAAGTAAAATATAAAATCTCGTATTACAGCTCATATATGCAATTGTGATATCTTACCTAAGTATACGCAAAACAGATAAACAACTGTGATGGAGTGACGACTGTAAATTGTCTGAGAGACATTCAAACAATCTCTGCCACAGTTTCTCCCGTAGGTCATCGTTGTTTAGTTCACTGAATACAACTCTACTTCCATACTGAAAACGTTTATATTAATGATTCGCAAGAGTTTAATTAATTAATTAAGAGTTAATCCTCCGAAACGTTTAAACTTACAGTTTCCTGAAAGGCGGCAATGTTCTTTGAAAATTCGTAGCTCGTGTCTGAGATTATATTTTGCACCAATCCCTCCATGTTAATACAGTGTACTCGTGACAATTCAAAAGAGATTGTAACGTGCACGACTGACAGCTTTCAAACGTCTGAGCGACGTTTTACGCACGGATTCAGGTCAGTATAACAAAATAACCTAACTTGAGCGCCATCTCCAGGAATCTGAATGCTGAATTTTAAAATCTCAAAATTAAAATTAAATCGAAAATTTCGCAAGAACCTTCCCATTTCCAAGTATTTGTATCAAAGAATACTTACGTTGACAGAAAGAGATTTCATTTGTATATCGTGTGTGTATAGGTTATATCGTATAGGTTATGTTTCAGTTATTTCCAACGAAGAGCGTGAAGATGATTTCGATTGTTGAATCGATAACGTATGAAATCGAACGTTACACAAACCGACCGTTAGAACTCGACTTTCATCTCGATTTTCTAACGGACAGTTAGAAAGATTAGCTCCAGAGGTAACCAAGGGTTTTTAAATAAATTTGTGTTATTCGAATTTAGTTCGAAACTTTTAGCAATTTTTTAATTTTCAATCCTGAAATTTTCAACGTGAGGACGAGCCTAAACTTAATTTTTGAGAAGAGAGAGAAGAGAGAGAAATAGAAACCACGATGATTGACTTAATTTGTCTGATTTGTACGATTCACGTATTTATTTGAAAATTACAACACCAATGCAGTTTTGCTATGAACAAATAGGAAATTCAACTCAATGTGTTTTATATTGTTATTATTAATTTGTACTGTATAGTGATAATTATACATATTGTTTCACTCATACATAATATTTCTAATTACAGTTCTCGCCAATAACATTAATCCTCCATGTTAGATACCTGAATGGAGCTTACAATTTGCAACTTCTATAGGAGAAAATTTGCTCTTCTATAGGAGAAAAATGATCTGACAATTTTGCTATAAACAGTAGGAATTTCAACATGTTTTACATCCTCATCATTAACTTCTATTGGTGATAATAATTCTTACCATTATACTTGATTATGCATACATATAATATAGTTTCACAATTTTAACTCATATATATGGTATTTCCAATTGTAGTTCTCGCTAGTAATACTAGACTTCTGAATGAAGCTTACAATTTGCGACGGAGAAAAACGACCTAACCTTTCTCACGGAATTTGCAAACGAGCCTCTCGTTACCGGCGACGCCTCCAGCGCAACATTTTATCGAGGATTGACCCTGTAACACACATAAGGATCGTTTCCAGGGGGAAACGGTGGTCCGGAGAAAGGGCGTGGAACTCGCGATCAAGGGAAAAACAGGTTTCTATTCGCAGAGGCTTCCACTTACCGGCCGTCGACTCCCGTGGTCGATGCTCCGACGATCTGGTTCAACGACTTTCTTCTCCGCGTACAAAACAAGTTACGGCGGTACATTTCTTTGACCTCTTAGCTCGTCTGTCTGGCCGTGTGCGTGCGTGTGCACGCGCGCACACAGTGCGTGCGGATTACATCACATTTCTGTAATCGCCCGGCCACCTTCTTTTTTTTTTTTTTTTCGCCGGAGGAAACGCCATGATCGACGGAGACGTATATCAGGAGAAATAGTTGGGGAAATCGTGCATTGGCGTAGGAGATTGTAATGTGTAATATACACGGAACACTTATGTAAAACTCGCTTTATTTGCAATTTACAGCGTACAAGTCCTATTAATTCTGACGGATCTTTTTGCTGAAGCGATTGAGAATGGTTTTCCCCGAATTTTGTAACTTGGAAACGTAAGAAACGAAGGAGACAATTTAAACATATATATATATATATATATATATATATATCTTTCACTTTCTCTCTCTCTCTCTTTCTCTCTCTCGTAGTCATGCGCTATTCTTATCGTCCCATCTACACTTTCGCACGGATCGTCTCTCCATGTTACAAAGGATTCTCCGTCACTTAGACCGAGTTAGATTATTTTTGACCGTCACCCGCAACGTGGGAAGAGGAGAAAGCGAGAGAAAGAAAGAATAAAAGCGCTTCGATCGCGTCGGATGTGCACATTAGGCGTGGCAAAGAAAAGAGCAACGAGATACAACAGGTGCCTCACACAGGAAACACGCCGGCATTGTCGAGTTCCAAGGACATACCACTATAAAAAAAAGAGAAAGAGAGAAAGAGAGAGAGAAAGAAAACTCTCCCATTCGATCGAAGCAGCATAAAAAGGGCGCGGAAGAATAGAGAAAGAATGACCTTGGAGGGTAGGGTTGTCCAACGAACAACGGGAATAGCGCGCGCGTAGATGCGTAAATTATGCGCTACTTTCTATATGAAACACCGTGTTCCTGTTTCTCTCCTCTCTTAGAAAGGTGTTTGAATAAGCTGTTAACAATTTACTGTTAATAACTCTGGTAAAACTTGTACAGACTCGAGGGACGATCGGACAATAAGAGATCCCATTCTGTTATATTTTATTGTAAATTACATTTCCAGTCTTTATGTTGCTAGGAGTTGTCTGTCGATTTGATAAAGAAATTAAACGTTGTTTCATTAATTAGTATATCATTTAGTAAACTGGAAAACGTTTCTGATGATGTCAATTTCAATTGTAATTCGACAACGATACAAATTTGTAAAATCTGATAACATATTCAGAATAACAATTATATAATATTTAAATAATAATGTAAAGTATATTGAAGGGATTAGAAACGAGAAAATGAAATAAAAGGAAATTAGTAAATGTGCGACGAGCTAACTGGTCTGTATAATATTATTTCAGTGGCTGGTTGGTGGAACCCGAATCTCGAGAGTCAGTGTTTCCGAAATTGTACAAATGTCGTTAGAGGGGAGTGGACGATGCGTGCACGCATGTTGCATACAGCCAGTCTGCGGTGGATGCACTTTTGGGAAATCATGCATAACGTGGCAACATCGCACAGCGGGGCTCACATTCCACGTGATCAGGACCGGTTTGCGGGTGTCGACCCACTGACACTCGTCCACACAGATGAACCTTGGCTCCGTATGTAGAATACACCTTACATGTGTCTCTTTTTATTGCAACGCTGAGAAACATAAATAACTAACTGCTGATTCAAAAAGAAAAAAAAACAAGAAAAAAAAAAGAATCCACCAGACGATTAAAATAATCTCTCCGGCGTAATTGGTATACCACCACACGAAAATGAAATCAACGTGTAAATATTAGGACAAGTATCAATTCGCAATTATTTAAATCTTCCCGTTTGTTCTTGCAGATTAGCTTATCCTCAACTTTTGTGAACAGATTAGAATTCCAAAGGAACGAATTTACAAAAAGGAGGAAAAGAAAAAAACTGGATTCATCAATTCATCAATTGACATTACACTTTATCCCTCAATGTGTTTGCAGAGATAGAATGTTATTGCTACAGAAGAACAAAGAGGAGAAATTGGAAGTTTAATCAGGAGGAAGAGCGAACGAGAATTGCCACCAGGTAAATACGTAAGAAGGATCTGATTCTTGTATTAGCACCTCGCACAGACATACAGACGAGAAGATCTCGGCCGTGCATTGCAAGGCCATTGACCGGAGGGATCGATGATCGGCTACCTGCTGATACATTGTTGCCCTCGTACAATAGCGAAAGTATTGTTAGTCCGGTGGGAACCCTCCAGCGTCAAGTGCAATTATTCCGTGTAACCGAGTGCACTTTATTCCTACTGTTCAAGACCTGCTTTGCCTTGTGGCATGGCCATTCATTGCAGCTACCGGGTGCAACGCCCCATTCATCAGTGGCACTTGCTTCTACGCGTAATTCCATGTGTACCCATTCTTTTTTTTTTTCTTCTTCTGTGACACGCGAGCACCACTACAAGAACAAAATAAAAACAGAGGAGAAATTATGAAAGAGTAATTTTGCAATTTACTAATTAATTATTTTTCAATTTCAATTGTTTGTAATGGAGGAACAATTTTGAATTTAATAATTGTGAAATTTGGTGTCTTTAATTCAATTTAAAATTAAATGATAAATTTTATTAAATAAATTGATATTAAATAATAAATATGAAATGTACGTCTGATGTGATATAATCACGTTTGAACGTTTTTCTTCGAGGCGAAATTTTCGGGACGGTTTCCAAGGGAAGTCTGGAGAGCGAGAAGCGTATGTGAAGGGAAACAGGTTCTTCAAGGGGATTGAGAAGTCGCTTGCATCTTGCATCCACCTTTTCAACTCGTGTAAGACTCCCTCCTTCGGTAGGAAACCTATATCTACTATGGTTTTTCCCTGCTCGTTTTTTACACGTGTACATTTATTTTATTTGCGGTTACTTTTATATTGTTTATTCATGTTAATCCTCTGTTTTTTTTTTATTATTAATCCTCTATCTTTTCTTATCCGTATTTATCCTCTATCTTTCCTATATTTTCCAGGAGAATTGGAGAGCGTAGCCGTAGTAATATTTCTAAAACGATCGCGACAAAATACGCAAGAATCAAGAATTCCATACTATCTGTAGATAAGCAAACAGTTGGTATCCCTCTATCATCACTTTGCTCACGATAGATAATGTGCAACGTTGCTATAGCTATCACTAATACGTTTTCTTCTTCTTCCCCCTGTGACTCGAAGAGTCACTAGCTTCTCTTTTAATGGTTTCTTGGGAACGCGAGCAACGGCCCGAGTAGAAGCTTTTCGCTCGTCTTACATACGTTTTTTAGGTGAAAATCCAGTCGCCCCGAGACAAGAGGGAGCAAGCTGCTGCTAAATCTGGAGTCCCTGGCTGGGGTGTTTTATTAAGAAAAGCCTCGTGCACAAATCAGACTCTGTTAACTTCTGCTTAGCCAAATATTTAAAAAAAGAAAACGAAAAACTTGAAAAACTGTGCAACAAAGTGCAAGTTTTTCAAGCAAGTCGCGCAAATGACCCGAGCAGAGTTTGTATATCGTTGATTTTCTAGATCTAGGGAATTAAATAATAGCAATCTTCCATTACATTAATACTTGCTCGTAGAGTGAGAATAATTAATGATATTTGAAACAGCATCGTTCTAACTGTATTAATCTGACTATATTTTTCAGATATTCTCTCTATTGAAAGTTAAACGAACGTTGCTGTTTTCAACTCACTCATCAGTGAAAAATCCGTTTACAACGGAGGGAATTAGAAACAGTCCGACAACTCGAGGTCACGCTGCGTTCAACCGATGTGGAATTTTTTTTCAATGGCGCAATAGCGCACGACGAGGATTCACCATGTCGTCGGCCAGCTTCGCATTCCGCGTCTTCATACCTTCGTCTCTTTCTTTGTCTTTGTTCAGCGGTGCATTCACACACTCACACAGAGTCACGTTCTATCAGTATGGTGTGAAACTGTGCATACGTGCAGGCAAGCACGCAGGAAAACGATTTTCCTTTATCGCGGCCCGTCTTTCCGCGTCTTCTTTCGCTGTACGAACTGGCCGAGATAAGGTAGAAATCGAGCCGCATATTTTCGGCCTCTGTTCTTAATGTGCTGCTTTGCGAGGCCTGGTAAACAGGAAACGACGTCCACGTGCGTCTGTGCGCAGAGAGGGAGAGAGAGAGAGTGAGAGAGAGAGAGGGCGGAAGAGAGAACTGGCAACCGCTTTTAGCCATGTCGCGCTCCCTATTTTATTCCCTATTTGTACTCGTTCCTCATACGAATTTTTCATTTCCAGCGTTTTCACGAAAACGAGCCTCGGGAAAGGATTGCAAAGGATTGTTGCAAGACAATATGAAATGATGAAGGAAATGAGTTACGACGAAGGAGAAACGCTTGTTTGATTTGCGTGGCCATGTGGAAAATACAAGGGTCATGGGAAAAGTTTCGGAGGATCTTATAAGAGGACGCAGGCGCAATCAGCGGCCGCATCGAACCTAAACCAGGGCGTGGTGGCAATTTTCGAGAACGTATATACACAGTACACGCAGCTCTCCTCGTTCCTCGTAGCACGTAAGTCCTTCTGGTGATTACCGATGCACTTGATTAAATTTCTACTTCTACAATTTGTTAATGTTTCTCTGCCTACAACACGGGCGTAATAAATCCTGATAGTTTCTTAATTTTGTTACAAAGTGTACGTCGGAAGATTTTCAAGATCATCGAAATTATTTTAATTGTTCAAAGGAACGTTATATTATATTAATTATATTAATGAGATATTTGCTCTTTTTAAAAATCATTGATTTCGATTGATTTCACGTGAATTAATGGAAGAAAATTTTACAGCCGAGCCAGGATAACAAGGATTTTTCAGCGGAGGACGACGGGGAGAGATTGTGAAATAAAAATTTCAAAGAAATAAAGAAGCTGAACCGTTGCTCGGGGAACTTGCGACGAAAAAGGGAATTTAATGGCCATCGCTGGCGTTGATACGCGAGCAAAAGACGTGGGTGTACACACACGGCGCCGTATAGTTACCCACGCACACACACACATATGCAAGCATGCACCAGCTGCATATGTATGCGTCGTACCCCGCAGGATATTGGCCTAGACGCAGTGTGATTGGCCGATCATGCAACCAGGGACGACGATGCCTCTGCAAGTCTCCTTATGTGTGCTTTTCAGTGGCGTAACTCTGCCATATGTTCGTTTTTTAACTTTTTTAAGCCGAATTTACGCAACTTCGCGTGACGCGTAGCGTATACAACACGTGTAACGCTAACTCGATATATACGTAAGAAAATATTCAACGAAAATTGCAAATCGTTAGTCAGTGTAATCTCTTGTAGTTTAAAATCAGTGTGTATCTTATTTACACAATTTCGCTCATTTGTGAAAGCAATTCGTCTATAACGAGCAGATAATGACTAGCGATTGACTAATGATCTTGATATTTATTCATACAACGACACGATTTATCATTGTTATTACTAGAGGTTCGACAGGGGAAATTTTGATTGTTCGAAACTAAACGAACGCATAAATTCGCGCTGTTGTAATTTCCAAAGCTTAGCGTGAACTTTGTCAGCCCCTCCGGATCTCGTTTTAGAAGCTCGTACACGCATTTAATGGCAACGTGCTCATTAAGCAGGCATCGGCGAGCAAGGTCGTTTCGTTAATAGCACGGTGCCACGGCGTGTTGTACATTTTGTTGCTAACAGTATCGTTCATTAGTGATACGTCGTTCGAGTGACTCCTCGCTGGAATATTTCGCATAAAGGGCCGCCGGTTACGCCATTGGGCACACGCACACAGCAACGATAGACGAGGCACGAACGCACACGCAGGCCAACCCTATGCGAAGAGAGCCATGACCAGCTCGGGGCTTAGTGCGTCTTCCACGCACGGCTCGTCAGTGGTCGCCGAGTAGGCCGTGGGAGAGGGTTTCTATGCGTGCTATAACTTCGGTTTTGCTACGGGTGTGCACTCGTACCGTATCGTATCAACTAGCGGGATCATTGCCTTCGAGGATGCAGCCGCTGCGCTTAGGACTGCGCTTAGGACTCGAGGGCTACCAATGACACGAAGCTTCGATGAAGATATTCCAGTATCGACTAATAAGGGTCTTAAGGACGACAAGGATAAGATTATTGGACAACAATAAAAGATAAGATTAAAACCGGAGGAGACACGACTTTTCCCCATTGGTGAATTTTTGTGAATGAGATCGTACACCATTTATTGTTTGTAAAACGGGGGTTTATGACCGAAGGTGTGGATCGAAGAGATGTGAAGAGAATTTGTTTTGGCCGGACGATCCCGCACACATACACACACACATACACACATACTCCTGAGCGCCATGTGCAGTCACTAGGGGTTGGACTCTTCGTAGCCTGGTCTCCACACCCGATCGAAATTACTAATGCGAGTGCACATAAATGCTAACATAATCGTACGTCTCCTAACTACTCGGCGGCCATTTGAACAGCTTCGCCAGACGACGTCAGTAATTCTGGAAATGTAAGTGTTCGCGAAGTTAATCCTTGTCACGCCTACATGCAGATACTATTCATTATCAACGATTGTCAAATTTGCTGTAAACAAGAGCGGACGATGTTTGTAATGTTTTATACTGCACGCGATATACGCGCCGCACGCAGGGTATTTAACTAGCGAGATAGTTTACGTTCGTTTACGTACATTTTAATCTCATTTCATCCTCGATTTTACAATTTCTTCATTTGAAGCTTAATTTATTATCGCTGCAAAGATCGACAATTGTTGTTTGAATACATGTTGCGAGAGATACAACACATGTGTCCCGCACATGCGTGGTATCCAATTGTTAAATGAGGGTAGTTTCACACGCGTGACTCACGCCTCATAAAATATTATGCCCCTCCGGGTTTAATATCCAATGAACGGTTTAACAAGTATGAACGAATGTTAAAGAAGAATGCTTTCTAAAGTGCTCTCACATATAAATTTTGTGTATTACGATCCCTTTCCTCTTGCGTTTACAAATTTCAAATTAGTCGAACGCTTGATTTCCAATAATAATAAGTAGATGAATCAACGTTAGCCTAATTCTCTGCAATTCCTTTTCAGAAAGTCCGCTTGCTGATCGAGCCGAGATGGCGAGCACGTCGCAGCAGTACTGTTTGCGCTGGAATAATCACCGCTCGAATTTGTTGACGGTGTTCGACGAGCTACTGCAAAACGAGGCATTCACCGATGTGACACTGGCAGTCGACGGTGGCGTGTCCTTGAAATGTCACAAGATGGTCCTGGCGGCGTGTTCCTCCTACTTTCAAAGCTTGTTCCTCGACTTGCCATGCAAGCACCCTATCGTCGTATTGAAGGACGTGAAATATTCGGAGATCAAAGCGATCCTCGAGTACATGTACCGCGGCGAAGTAAACGTGGCCCAGGAGCAATTGGCCGGGTTGTTGAAGATCGCTGAGGTGCTGAAGGTGAAGGGGCTGGTTGAAGAAAATGGCTCCCAAGGCCGTCGTGAGGAGGTTGAAACCTCCATGTCCCCGCCGCCGGCCATCAGCACCAGTACAACCAGCAGTGCGGTTCATAGCAGTGATCACGCGTCTCCCCCGCATTCCACGGGCACTACGTACGATATATACGGCAAATCACCAGTCGACAGAAGCAGTCGTTTACCGTTGCCGATGTGGTCCCTACCGGGGATCCCCATGACTCACTCCAGCACCGGTCACCAAACGGTGGCGCATCAACATTCCTCTATGTTGGCCGGCTCGTCGCCCATTTTGACCGGCTTCGAGACCTCTCCGTTGAAGCACAAGAAACTTTCGAACATGCTGATGAACCGAGACACGCCGATCCTGAGGACGGTGCTGGGTCAGGGTCACGCGGATAGCTCCCAAGGGATTCCCCTGTTGCACCCGGACAACCACGAGAATCAATTTAGAAACAGCAGCAACGGCTCGTCGAACGAGAACGATAGACGCGGTAGTATGGATGCAGTTCACGGGGAACCTGCGCACAGCCCTTACACCGACATGATGGATGAAGATGATAAGCAATCGTCGCCGCAGTCGTACCCTCCTGATATTAAACCAGGTAAAGGACAAGTGACCGTTGCAGAAAATCTCATTTCTCGCCGGTGTTTTGTTGTTTATTACAGTTAATTTCATTATATTATATATAGTTATATAGTATTATATATAATATAATAATATTATAATAATACTATAATACTAGATAATATAATCATATACTAGATAATATGGTCATATAGTATTATATATTACTATATTAATACCATATATAATATATAATACTATATAACTATATATAGTTATCTAATATTATAGTACTATATATTACAATACTATGTATAGTTATCTAGTATTATATAATATATAATATATAGTACTATAATACTATATAACTATATATAGTTATATAATATTATATATAGTATTATAGTGTTGTATCATATCACATAATTATAATATTTTATACAGTAATGGTTACACAAGATATCTCAGGATTTAATAGCCAAACTTTATTACTAGCAGATTTATATAACATTGAGTTACTCTTGGCAGACTATACTGCCAATGTCTTATACTGTTAAACGTTGAGACGCCATGTATACTAGCATCACTATAATGCAATATTATTCTTTTGCCGCAGGGATGGTTAATTACGTGCCAGCGCAAAAGCCGGAGTGGAAACGGTACAAGCAATACACGAGGCACGACATAATGTCCGCGATCGAGGCGGTACGCTCGGGAATGAGTGCCCTCCAGGCGGCACGTAAGTACGGAGTACCCTCACGAACTCTTTACGACAAGGTAAGGAAGTTAGGGATCACGACGTCGCGACCGTTTAAACGGGGATCGAACGGCAGCGGCGCCTGTTTCCCTTACGGGATTGGTGGTAACGCGAACGGCAACATCTACAGCGGCGCTCTCTCGGAAAACGAGAACGAGAGCGGCAGCGTAATCGAAGGTCCTAGGTCCACGCTCGACGCGTGCAAGTCAAGAGATCCTCCTGTAGATCGGGAAATCGTAGATGTTAGTCGCTGCACATCCAGCCCTACGGTGCACTCCGTGAAACAGCCGAGCAATGAGGATCAAGTTGAGGATCTTTCTGTCAGTCGTAAGTCGGATGTTCGCGTGATAGTGCCGCCAACGTCGGTGATCAAAAACGAGGAGGATATTGGCTCTGATTCTTGCAGTCACAATTAACCCTCAGCCAGCTGTAACATCTCTCGTGATGGTCAAGAGTATCGTCACCACCGGCAGAAGCTAAACGAAAGCTACTGTAGAAATTCGCATCAACGCATTGAGAAGTTTGTAAAGTTTTTGTTAAATAATTTAAGAGAGAGATTGTACGTGTCTCTGGTGAAACGTAAGATGCGTTCTATCATTTGCAACGTGACACGAGTTTCTCGAATTATCCTCGATGGATACGGCGACGATTCTTCGCTTCACGTAGTTCTACAGGCAGGCTTGTAACACTTCAGAAGACAAGACGATAATGCGTACGGATGAGAAACGTAACCAAACGGAAGCCAATTAAGTTAACGTTTAACAAATGACTCAGGGATCAATAATGGAGTATAGTATCGCCGCCAATAGTAAGTCAGAACATACGTACATAATGTGTTCGTAAAAAATCCAGTATATGAGATTCTTCTCAGAATACTTTGTACAAGACTGATTCCAAGAATTCGATACGGGAATTCAAGAGACTGAAGTATAATCAACGATTGCGTTCCAAAGTTGTTAAAGCCTAATGCCTAATATATTTGTGAAATGTAGTGCCTTCTCTATTATTTTATTATTTTCAAAAGAAAAGCGTATCGACTGTAATTCATTAAAAGTTGTTGGCAAAAAGGAAAAAAAAGAAAAAAATTGCAATGTCTTTGCTCGAATATTTAAAGAGATTAATCATATGCATCATATGTGTGTATATATATATATATATATATATGTGTATATGGGGTGTTCCCGGGTTAAATCGTCAAACTTTAGATGTGAATTTAGGATCCTAAAACAAACAAATTGCTCGCTAATGCTTCCTTTAAGAGATATTTGCTTCTAAAGTTATTAAGAGTTAGGAATGGAACATTGAAATATCTGTGTTTCCGAGATTAATGCTTATCTCCAAAGTGAAGGTTCATTCAAGCTAATCATTTTGAGCAACATATGTAATAGTTACAATTATTTTTAGTAACAAATACAACAATTTTCTTTAGTAACATACGTAATAAATTATGAACTGAATTATTCCGATGGCATACGTTACAAAGTCCTACAACTTTAGTAGTAAATACCTCTGAAGAAGGCATTTACGAGTATGCTTGCAAGAGGAAAAATTTGTTCGCTTTACGATCCCAAATTGATATCAAAGTTTGGCGATTTAATCCGGGAACACCCTGTATTTATTTTGGTTTTGTTAGCTTATTATTCATTTGTGAACTGTCGAAGAAATTAATTTCATATGATTGATACAACGATGTACAAAGGATCTTCGAGATTCTACGAACTCGAATTTCGAATCGCATTAAGCTTTAAACACTTTCGAACAAGTAAGTATGCATGTTTCTTTTTTTTTTTTTTAATTCATCGTAATCATTGTGATTTGACATTCTTGTTTTTTTTCTTTTCTCATTTTGCAATCGTCTACATAGTAGTGGAATTTAAGAATTGATTTTTATATGTTATAATGCGCGCGAAGGGAAAAGAAAGAGAGCATGTCTATTATTTTAATGATCTTATTTTCGATTCTTTTTTCTTTTAAGAAAGAGTATCTGTCTTTGGCATTAAATGCTATCAATAAGACATGATTATATATGTATACAATATATAGTATATATATGTGTGTATAATCTGGAAAAAAAAACAAAAAAGGGTAAAAAGAATTAGAGAGTTATACACTTTGAATAATTTCGTGTTATTGACTGATGATATCGCTGTTAATTTGTTGCTAATTGTAAGGTATACATTATCGTTACTGATCATGGCCCTGGGATACAGCTGCAATATTGCTCAATATTATGCGTAATGACATATGATCGAACTACCTCTAAATATTAATCCATAATTACATGGAACGAACTACCTCTAAATGTTATAATACATTATTACATGAAACAAACTACCTCTTTGTACAACGAACGATATTGTTCATTATTAACGTTAAGACTGATAGAGCCGAATGTACGTTATATATTGTCTACTATATTATATTATATTATTATATTATATATATATATATATATTATATTATATTATATTACCTAAGTATATAGTCCAGTAGTAGAATTTAAAATATATTTTATGATTCACGTGATCTTTTCGAAAAGAAATTTGAACACTTCTTATTTTTTGATTGTAATTTTTTGTAATTTATATATAAGAAACACACATATATATTTTCATAAAACACACATATATATTTTAATACAGTATATAAAATAGACGGTTTTGATAAAGACTCTCAAACAGGGGGCACCCTCAAGGGAGGGTAAGGTGGAATTGCTGATTTAAGGGGGTGCCCCCATATTAAATGATCAAATTTCAATTGCAAAATTTGTCAAAATTTACTAATGAGAATCACCGAAGTTTGGGAAACTAATATTTTTTCTAAATATTTTATAAATTAAAAATAATTTTTTTGTGCGTATAATAGCGGCTGTACATGTAGCATGTTGCTTAACATTGTGCATATGATTCCAATTAATAAAAATTAATTGGGAATCATAATTAAATAATTGCGATCTTATTCGTAATCTAGAGATTACAGCTACCTCTTGGGTAGCCGTTAAGACACTGTCCTCGTTTGCTCTTCAGGAATTTAACTGTTTAACCTTTTTGCACAAATCAACAGGTGGTATAATGCGCGGTATATAAAATGGAGTAAACAACAATTGATACAATTGATGCAATAATTGTTTCGAGCGATCGTATAAGAAACTGAAATCATATATTTTCAAAAAGAGAATGCTTTGTAGAAATAAGTTTGCGTGGATGAATGAACTTCAATACTTGACGAGTAATATGTTTGACAATTAATTGTAAGTACTACAAATTGTGTAGTACTTTCAAGAACAGTGTTTAAACATATTCAGTGGGAGAGCGGTTTGAAATTTTTCTCTTTTCCCGCGTTACTTCGCCATTGGTTATTTTTCCGCGGGAAAGTACCCTGCGCAATGGGATGCGCTTTAGTATCAAGCCCAAGTTCCATTGGGAACAACGGTGAAGAATGACACGAAGTTATATTTAACAGTTGAATATTTCATTCATTATTTTTCACTGCTTCCTAACATTTTATTGTCACGAGGGAAGAACGAAAAATTTCAAACGTTCGGCATTCATGATTGAGGTGATTCTTCATTTTGTTACTACATGTAATAGAACTGTACCTGTACGTTAATCGCGCCACGATTGTAAAATAGAGAAATAACATTTATACAGGGTGTCTCAGTGATCGCGAGTGACGTTAGGCGAGAGAACAATTGTACGTGTGTGAAAATAAAATCGAAAAGAAGGATGTAGCATAGAATGTTTTTTCGCGGGACGTTTCATTTGTGAGTAGGTTAAATTTGAAAATTAATCGAATGCGCATGCGCAAGTACCATATTGCACAAATACGTCTCTATTTTATGAAGAACGAGGTGTCTGAAATGGAAGAATTTTTCTACATTTTCCACTTGTTTTCACGCGTAAAACCTCCTATCGATTATTTGCCAGTTGACCAGGTTCAAGGTATTACTATATAAATACTCAAATTCAATTTTACTTCATTTTATTTTCTTTTTCTTTCGATTTACTTTTTCACACAGGATTTCTGAGATACTCTGTATAGAAAGAAAACGGACTGATTCCAATGTAGATAGATATTGACGCCATGCTTGTAGTGGTAAGAACAAAAAAAGAATTAAAAAGAATAGTAATATATATATTTAATAGAGAAATATAAGATGTAACGTGCCTAAACAGGTGAAGGACAATTCAACTGAAGCTACAATTTAGACTGATGCATATTTAAAAGACTATACAACGTGTTCAGCACAAGGAAACAATGTAACGATAGCTGTAACGAAAATAGAAGGTGCTCAAAAATGTGTGGATGAACTTTGTAATTCCCGTTTTTAAAATGTTTATCGCGAATTAACAAACTTATCGAAGGGAATGAGATAAACTGGAAAAAACGTCGACATTCAATAACGGATGAAAATGTCTAGAAAATTACGAGAATAACTTCGAACGCTCCAGGCCGAAATTTTAAATAGGATTTGGTACTCAGAAACTATGTTTCTCTTCGCTCGTAACTTCGACGCAAAGTTTAATTGGTACGCAGACGGAATTTTCGACGATGCCTTCGACGAAATTAAAAAACTTTAGCCTGGACTAATAGCGTATTAAGATTGTACATAATCACGGCTTTTGTAGATGGAGGACGAAAAGTTGCCTTATTATCAAACGTAAATTTTAGCGTCGTAAATATTAATTCTTTAAGACTGACTATAACGAAAATGTATCGCGCACACACACACACACGCGCGCGCGCGCGCGCGTGTAAACATACATACGCACATACACATACACGCACTTTTAATTAATTATAAGCTTCTAACGTTTGACATTTTCCATCCGTAACATGGGGTTTTCCAAATTCCATTGTATGGACGTATGTTATTAGAAATGTACAAGTTTGTTATAAAATATATTACTCTAAGAAAAACTCCTGAAAGAAACGATTGTTTTTCCTTTGCATGTTGAATCCCTACTTCACAAGGAAAATATTAACAGTAACGAGAACAGTTTTCCAGTTTAAGTTATTTCGATTCTCACTTCATTAAGTCGTCTAGACTATTTAAATCAATATTAGCCGCTTTTAATGATAAGAGAATCGAGTATCAGAGGATTAAAGCAAAACGTGGATTAAAGAGATATCCTATTAAATTATGAATTGATATACATTTATAATTATGAATTATATTGAGTGTGTTGACAATAAATAAATAATCTGAGGTCAGACTGGGTGAACATTGTTTTTTCTTCAGTTCAGAAATCAACGTCGCGACCATTTCCATTTGCCTTTGAGGAGATTTTGCAGCTTGGTCGTCACCGTGTCAGAAACAGTGCACTAATATCGCCGCGAGGGAAACTTTCAATCAACCAACAAGACAGCCAGCCAGCCCTGAGCTAATGATAAAACAAGCAGAAGACTAGCTTTATTAAATGACAAGGCGAAATCTTCAGAGCAAGACACGCTGTCAATTACAGACAGAGGATAATTTAATTTGATAAATCAGCGTCAAATAGATTTAAACATGCATTTCTCAAAGTACACAATTGTCACAAAAGATACACTTTCCTATGTTTTTATATATTCCACAGTGATGTTAGTGTCGCAGTCATCACTTTCACGAAAAGAAGGATTTTTCAAAATTGAAAAACTTAACTCTAGGATTCTCAAATCAGTCAAGATACTCTGTGGCTAATTAATATCACAAACGCAATATATTTGAACTCGTTTAGACATAAAATAGCAATCAAGTCAATCACCATAAATGATTCTTTCTATAAAAAAAATTAGTTTCTCATTTTCTATAATTATAATCATTTCTCTCATAATCCCCAAAGCTAAACAAATTGTAAAATTTGATGTATTATTATTTTTAAATTTTATATAAAATTAAATATATTCTTACTGAATTCAACTGTAATAATTAAATATTCTCAAGATTCAAAACGATGACTTATATTGCATTGCTTGCATCAACATGTGTCGTGCAGAGATGAGAAGTTTTCCGAAAAGAATGTGGGTCTGGTTGGTTGTTTTCAATCCATTCTTAAATTTAAGAATACCTATTGGTTGAGATTGTCACGCAGAACAAACAAAACCCAGTGGGTCGGTTACTGAGAGAAGGAACTGCTTCCTTTGCTCTTGCATGCGACTTTTCATTTTTGTACATAGATACAGCTATATATAACTGAAAATATACAATTTACAATTCGTCAGTAGATGGTACTAAAGGTGAAACTTCTGTAGCGGATGATTTTATGTATAATGTAAGGTTATAAAGGATATAGAAGGTGGAGTATAATTCGTCTCAGAGCCACCGCCAGATTCATCCATAGCGTTGATACCGGCGACCACCTCAGACGTTCGGTTTATTAGGAACTTGGGCTAAGAAACGGTATCTATCCTAGATCTGTTCCGCACGCTGCACGTTTAATCTAAAAATCGCACTTCATCCGTACCTAAGCAGCATCCACTTACGAATTGTAACATTTGTGCTTTGGAACGGATACACTAAGGAAAGACTGGATGTGTTACCCGCTACAGGCAATAAAATACTAGCGTCGCGTAACGGTGAAACGAGGGAACTAATTTATATTGTTGTCCTTGTCGCACATTATCGCTCTCTTTGTCTACCGCGCGAATATGTCTGTCCTTGTTAAACAGTATTATCCTCCTTGTCTAACGCACGTATATGTCTGTCCTTGTCGCACGCTGTTTCTCTCCTTGTCTATCGCACGCATATGTCTGTCCTTGTCGCACGCTGTCGCTTTCCTTGTCTAACGCGCTTATATGTCTCTCCTTGTCGCATGCTAGTGCCCTCCTTGTCTAATGACGCTAGACAAGGAAAGCAATAGTGTGCGACAAGGACACCATTCGATCTATTGAAAAAAAAATTCAACTTTTTACACACACATTTTTCTAGGACAAAACGCACATAGAAAGAAAGCGGGGAGCCTAATTCTACGGAGGTATATAAAAAAGTACGCAAATTATTCCTCTTAATTAGGTTTTTTTCGTAATTAGTGCGAACTGTCACAAAAAGGGCGTGGTGGCGCCATCTAGCGGTAACTCAGTGGTACTAATTATTTATATAAATACATATTTCTGCATTTTACAGGTCAAATGAGATATGAACAGAAAGCTAAGGGTCTAATTAGGGTAATACAATCGCCAAAGTTCACAATTCATTTTTCTAAATTAGGTTTTTTCACAAATGAAAATTTCTCTGTTTTACGGGGTAAGAAACACTAGTGCCGCTTGTGGCAGACCGGTGGAACTAAACGCTCTATTACCACATAAAGAAAATAATTAATTTTAATTTTTCACGCCACAAATTTGCACTCCACGAGCATATATTTCGTAGATAATGCTATCAATTACGTTTACAAATAAATCTGAATCTAATATTCACTATAGGTTGCGCGAAATTATGCACTCACTATTGGCACTACTACTAACGCAAATGAAATTGAAACATTCTTTATATACGTAAACTATACTTAAACATAACATAAAACGCAAGCGTAGGGTCTCTAAAATCGAAGATGCAACCATAACAGTTCACAAATGATTTCTTTCAATGAATTTCTTCTCGTAATTTGTGGAAAAACTATCACCTGTCAATGTTTAGAGGCAGTGGTGGCGCCATCTATTGGCAACTCGGTGGTCCTAAAAACAGGAAATTCTGTTTTTAGTACCACCAAACTATTAGTAGATGGCGCCACCTGTCCATTGTCTGTAGCGACCGATATATCTCCAAAATCTACAGTAACGCCATCTATACAATCATCCTGTCGAAAAGTACGATTCCTGTAAATCGACATTATAAATTGTAAATTGATAGTTTATTTATTACTATGGAAATGTTATTGCCATGATTACTTGTTTATAGAGATGTATATATAGATCCCATTTTAGAATTAG